GAGAAAGACAGAGAAAACTACTCAGAACTCATTGAGAAGATACGACAAAACTTGGAATTTATATATAAAAGTAAAGTCATACAAACTTCAATAAGTAAATACAACTTATCTCTAATTCCTCCCCAAGCAAACTCCTCGAAGTTCCTCTGAATCTCTTTCTTTCTTTACAGCACACAGAATTTTCCTTTGAAGCGGCAAGGAGGAAGAAATCTCTCACTTTCCTTTCACTCTTACAATCTCTCGAAGAATTCCTCAGAATACTAACCACTCTCTAGACTCTATTGGGCACCACAAACAACAAAGACTCAGCGGACCCCCTTTTTCGGCTTCTAAATGTTTCTCTTAAAGTTGTAGAAGAATTTTCAAGAGTTGCCAAACTGCCCTTAAAAAACTTCCCTTAAAAAAGCGTCCACATTCAATGCATCTGTTGAGAGAACTGACGTGCTCGCCGTCGGCGGCCTTCTAGAATATTTAATTTTGGACTCTCTGGAAAAACTCGTCGTCGGCGGCGTCGAGCTCGCTGTCAGTGCCCAAGATTAAATCTTCATTTTTTTGTCTTTTTTGCTCCAAATTCGCTCTTTTTTGCATTTTTTGTTTCAATGACCATAATTCAACATACATGTAACAAAACATCAAAAATATCTTTCTTTAAAGTGCAATATCTCTTTCTTTTCTTTAAAGTGCAATATCATCAAAATCAGTGTAAAATATGTATGAAAATCTCAACATATTTTCCTTTGGTCAATGAACATATTCACATTTATTTTGCTAGTCCAAATGTGTCAAATAATCAACAATATCATAGACTTTTGTTTGAATAATAACGATGTTATCCTCCACAGTCTTCAGTAGTTCTGACATCGAGACCATGCTAGTAGAGGGTCTATGCTTAGAGTAGGAAGTAGAAGACTGAGAAGAGGAAGGAGCCTGAGAAGAACTCACTCCGTGCCCAAAAACAACATGTTTATCATACAAATTCACGTTGGCTTTAGAAATGGGCTTCAAAGGATGAAGCTGCTCCTCCCATTTCTGAAACGTGAAACCAAAATGTTGACAAAGGTTGAAAATAGTATAAGGGTGACCTAACCCTACAGTGGATCCTCCCTTTGTAGCATTGATGATGAAGTGATAAATCAAAACTCCTATGTCTATAGATTTCATAGTTTGAATACAATAATTGAGAGAAATTCTCTCGTCACCTCACTCAAGTTGGTAGAGTGTAGGAACTTGACAGAAATGAAGTAATGCCAAGCTTTGGAAGGTGCATTTAATTTGGATGAAGAGAAATTTACCTTATGGCCATTCCTCACCTTCCAAACCCCTCTCCCACTAGTCAAGAAATTAATGATTTCATCAAGTTCATAATCAGTAGGGACAAAGCTAGAGTAGAAACTTCCTGGGTCATCCGCCAACAAAAACAACACATTAATGCGCAAAGGGAAGAATGCCACTCGTATCTTCCTCATATATATTGAATCAACAGAGGCTTCAGGAAGGCTTGAATAGAACTCTCTCACCACAGAAATCACTGCTAAACAAGTGGTGTAGCAAAAAGCTTCCTGCCTAACAATTATAGCTTCTACAGTACACCGGGGACTAATGAAACCCCTTTCCGCAATCAACTTCTTAGATACTAAGAAGTCATTGTATCGCTCCTGAGCTTTGGAGCGACAAACTTCTTTTTATCATAAGAAGATTTGGATTTTCCACTTTTAGTTTTGAGGGCCATAGGAAAGGTACAATAATAACAGTGCAAAGAAATGAGGCAAAGAAATAATGTTGATGCGTGCTAGATGCTAGTCATAGGCTTAATCAAACTCACCCCACGAAATTCCCCTCTTCACAATCATCCAAAAACTAAAAAAAATCTCGGATGAAGAAAATAAATGCAACCTCAAGGAGTGGAAATTTACCTTAGAGAGGTGGTTTTCCTCTCCAAAGCTTCAGAAATCGATTGAAAGTGGAGGGGAAGGAAGAACCCTAAGAATCACTTCTCAATTACAAAAGAAGGGTCGGGGAGGAAGTGTCACGAAAATGACATAAACTGGGGCGGTTTAAGCATTTTGTTGCAGGAAGAGGCGGTGCGCCAAGGTGCTGCCCTGGACTTTGGTGTGGCGTTTTGGCGCCGGTTTATATTGGAGCTTAGGCGTCAGTTCAGCTCTTGGCACTTTGGTGTCAGGGGCATTGGGCTTACATGCTCGATCCAAAATTGGTCTCGGCTATTTAAATTCCATTTTTAATCCTTCCTAAGTCCTTCATCACACCAATAAACAAATAAAAACTAAAGATAAATGAGGATCACTCATCTTCCTTCTCATCACATCTCCCTCCCTTCTCCACTTTCTCATCTTCAATGTAATCTCTTTTCATTTAAATGTCGGATGTGTATTTATATTTTTGTAAATATATTTAAAACCGGCTAGAACCTTTACTATTGGCTTATGTGTTGTCAACCCTAAGTACTACTGTTCAATAAAGTATACACCACTGACAATTCAATGAAAAGATCATCCACAAGCTCCTCAGATAGCAAGTCTATTGAACCAACATGATAGAAAAACAGGGTTAGAAATTAAATAACTGAGATTTACTTGTCCTATGTCCAAACTCAGCTTGTCTCTGGTAACTCCTTAAGTTCTATTGAGAACTAAGACGTAGAGGATATGGCTGATCCTTCTACTTCCAGACAGCACAAGAGTCCAATCACAATGAGAAGACTGAGGATTCGTCTCCCTCAATCCACACAATCCTAATTAAATCGAAACATTCACAAACCTAAATATCAACACACAATTACCAACAATCCACACCACAACCAAGAGCAAGCACAACACACTAAAAATAAATATAAACTTGAGTTGTCTCTTAATAAACGTTTGGTTTAATGTCATCAGACCGACGAATCCAGATATCTATTTAGGTTGACCCATCATTAATACCTCATTTATTAATGATCTCTCCTCTTAAGTAGGGTTTTAATCTTTTTCCATTCAATTTAAATACCCTATCTTCCTTAGATCTTTAATATTAATTGCATCAAAAGGATAAATTTTAACTACAGTAAATGACTCCGACCACCGGGACTTAAGTTTCTTAAGAAATAATTTCAATCATGTATTATATTGTAAACCTCTTGTCCAGACTCAAAATCTTTCCTAAGAATCTTTCGATCATGTCAGTATTTCATTTTCTCTTTATGAATCTTAGAATTTTCATAAGATTCTCGTCTAATTTCCTTGAGTTCATTTAATTGCAATAATATTTTATCACTAACTTCTTTCTTATTATAATTAAATTCCTTAACAACCCAATAAACTTTATATTATAATTCCACTGGTAAATGACAAGTTTTGCCAAATATAGGTTTTTATTGAGACATTCCTATATGTGTTTTATAAGTAGTTGTATAAGCCCATAATGGATCATCTAATTTCAAAGACCAATCTTCCCTACTACGATTGACAGTTTTTTTAAAATCCTTTTGATTTTCCAATTGTATACTTCAGTTAAACCACTCGTTTGCGGGTGATATGTTGTGGCAATCTTATGCTTAATTTCATAGTTAATAACTATGGTCTCAATTTTTTTATTTCTAAAGTGACTCCCTTAATCATTAATGATCACTCTAAGCATACCAAATTTATTAAAGATATTCTTCTTTAAGAATTTAGCTACACTTTGAGCATCATAATTTGGAAGAGCTGCTGCCTCAATCCGTTTTGAAACATAGTCCACAGCTATCAAAATGTATAAATTTCCTAAAGATAGTACAAACGGATCCATAAAGTCTAATCCCAAACATAAAATATCTCAATATTCAAATAAAATTTAGGGGTATTTCATCTCGCTTAAAAATATTGTCTACTCTCTGACATCTATCGCAAGTTTTTATATATAAATTCACATATCTAAATAGAGGAGACCAATAAAATCAAGATTGCAAAATATAAAAAGCAGTTTTATAATTTCCAAAATGTCTCCTAAATTCAGAATCATTATATTTCTTAATATTTTCTAGGGCTTCTTCTATAGGTACGCATCTTTTTATATACAAGAAATTCGTTTCCATGATGATTCTTTAAGGATCGAATCTAGAGGAATGTAAGATGTGTTCGGTTTTTGTAGGCTCGACTTCTCTTTCTCTAAGAATAATAATGGAGAGACAAATCACAAGCACAAATTAAGATACAATAAGATTTACATATCCTAGACATGCAAAACAACACGCTGATAAGAAGAAATCACTCCATTGAAAGGGAAAAGGGGATAACAAGAAGAGAGTGAAAACTCTCATAATATGCCAAACCATAGTGGAAAATATCAAATATATACGCATGTTCAAAGCCCTGATAAAATCAACCCTCAAAAATAAAAGGTTCCGTTATTATTCAAAGCCCAATCCCTCCACTACCAACACAGAAGCCCCACATTTCTCGTAATTTAGTTTGCTCCACATGCACACCACAAACTTTTGATCCAAGCCCAAGAGAATTTGGGTCACAAACTTTTACAATACCACTCGAGGTTTGTATCTAATTAATATCAGCCTTATTTACGTGTGATCCAATCGCAATCCTTTAGAAATACTATTACAAAAGCCTAATCCTGGTTATTCATGTTGCAGTCTTTTCTACATTGTCTGTCATCGGCTGCTTTAAATTACATATTGCCTACTTGGATATACTTGATTTTGTTCCTTGTGCTTGGAGGCATTACCATTCTCATTTCTTGCTGCAAATGACTGCCATTGCGGAAATTTTCTATTTAATCTATTTATGTTGTTTTTCTTTGATGTTGCTATATCTGGTTATATTATTTATAACTTCTTCCACTGAATTTTTTCATTTTATTGCTAAAATTACCATATAGCTCAAGGAAATGGCGGAGAAGCTACCAGAGGGCATCAATGATGCTGACTTGATGAGGTGGAGGTTCCTTCCCAATGGTGACGGCTTTGATACTCTTCATTGTGAAAACTCGAATGCAGTTCAAAATTTGATGAACGGTTCAAACAATGTTTCAAAACAACTTGATCCTTTAACTCTTCATCCTGCTCCTGCTAATGGAATTACAAGACTAAAGTCGGCACAGATTATCAATATTGAAGATACTGGACTAAGCCATAATGTTCAAAATCACACAATCCCGGGCCTGGAAGCAAATACTGAACACGCTCATAATTATAGCAAACCACACAGATCTAGAAGCATGTTGGGTTACTTGTATAGAAATGATTCCAAATCTCTCCAAAAATTGAAAAATGGTTCAAAGCCTAGAAGCCGAACAACAGAAAGTAACCAAGTTGAGGCAGAATGGATCGAACAATATGAGCCTGGTGTATATATAACTCTCATAGCCCTCCAAGATGGCTTGCGAGGCCTGAAACGCGTTCGATTCAGGTAATTGACACGAGCAACTCAATGATCAAATGTCAGCGATCTGGAAATATTGTTTATTTATTTATTTGTAACTTTACACCTTGTGAGTTTGCTTCCTAACAATGCAATTCTTTTCTGCAGTCGGAGAAAATTTGGGGAGAAGCAGGCTGAAACATGGTGGTCAGAGAACCGCGCAAAGGTGTATGAGAAATTCAATGTTCGAGACCAGTCTTCATCGTTACTCTCACTCTCGGCAGAATCATAGAAAGTTATGTTATATTAGAGAAGTTGGCAGTTGTTTGTTTTGGAACAGAAGTGCAGATTCTGTAAGCGGAGAGGGTTTTCAGCAGTCATATTTCAATATTTTCTTGTAGGGAGTGTAATCGACAATCTGGAAGGTTAGTGAAAGATACTGCAGTAAGCAATGTTTGTTTTTAGTTTTTTAACATTATTTATGGTAATATTATCAATATATGTAGGTTAAATCATCAAATTGTACTTCAGGCAGGGTATAAACCGTTACACAATTTCACTAATGTATAGCTAGCTGCTCTTTTGGTTGGCTAGATTGTTTAACATGCTTCTTTCATTTTGTCTAGTAAAGCCAGCATAAATTCTTTCGAACTTGACAAGAAATCTTTGACTGATTTTAAATTACTTCAAGAGAACCTTTGAAACCTTATCTAATCCCTCCAGTACACGGCTGTTAGTGCTGCAAATGGAAAGGCTTTTGAAATTAGTTTTTAACGTTGGCTTCGTGATAGGGGCTTTAAACTGGGCTTATATGTGTGAGTCATTGGTTCTTGTTTTCTATTATTTTCTTGTATAAAATTTATTTATTTGATTTTTTTATCTATTTATATAAATGCTCGGAATTATTATTCTTGTAGAGAGGAATTCTGCAAGAGTTTACAAATTGACTGGGAAGGTGATGGAGAATGTAATTGATCAATTTGAAATAAATTAGTGTAATTAATCAATTCGAAACGAATTTTCTCTATGATGGTGCTAAGCAATATCCTTACAAGCAGCTCTTTTTGCTGCTAGACCTACCTTTCTCTTTGGTTTAGTTTATCAACTTCATTTAAGGAAGGTTAAAGATAAAAATAATAACCTCACCTTGTAGTGTTCATCACTAGAGTTAAGAACATTAACTTAGGCTTGGGTTTGGCTGGTTCAGTGAATTTTCTCCAGAAGGAGAAAGTTATGAAGATCACCACAAGCAGAAGGCCCGTTCAAAAATTACCTAGATGGCAACAACTATAAAAAATTTCATCTAGAAAAGATCTTTATGTAATGCATGGTTAGAGAAGATACATGGAAGCTATTTGTTTAGTCCTTAATTATGAGAGGGTCAATAGAGAGAGTAGAAATGATCAAGGAAGGTCCCTAAAATGGAGCAATTTCATGTAAAGTGATATTTCACCAAATAAGCATAGTATGGATATTTCGCTAAGTTCAAGTATTATTAGACATAGTCAAATTATTATTTAATTATTACATTTTATTTTTATTAGGATTATGATATTTTTAAGAAAACTACTCTTTTTTTCTAATCATTAAAAGATTTATATTAAGTGTGATTCTAAGTTTATATATTTAAAAACTTCAAAATAATATATTTAGAGAACAAACACACACATATAATCATCATCATCATCATCATCATGAGTAGCATCATCATCGTTCTTTATAAAGCCTAAATTGGTGGTAGAGCTCCATTGTAATGTGGTTCTTATTAATTTTTTTTTTTACTTTTTACCTGGAAAAAAATAATATTTTCTATTTGAAAATTAAATTCATATAAAAAAGGAAATCAATGAATTTGGTGGATTAATTTGCTTAATCTGTCCCAAATAAATAAATAAATAAAATACTCAAGCAAGAACCTTGATTGGTGAGGTTTGTCGTCAAGGCAACCTTAAGCAGGAAAAATGAGCAAACAAACACACAAAAATGAAAGCAAACAATTATCACAAAATTTCACAATAATTGATATGAAACAACAAAGGTTCACGAAATTAGCAGCACACTACAAGATATTTTAGAGCTTTTATAAACACAAGAAATGAGAAACTAACATGCAGATAACAGTGTAACAGTTTTCAAGTCCAAATCCCAAAAGTTTGACTAAAATTTTTTTAACTTAAATTCGTTGTCGTTCCCCATCAACACCGCCAAAAACTTGATATGAACTATGTGCGGCGAAGCACTGACGACTCACATAAGTATACATATTGTATCAGTAGTATCAGGAATAGAGTTCAGAATATTGATCACTTAAGGAAGGGGTTGAATCCCAATACGAAAAAGTTCTAGTTTTCTATTATTGGTCCTAGACTGAATGTTATTGTTTCGGTAATTTTACTATAGTGACTTACCCTAAGTTATCAAGCTTAAAAGATCCTATGTTAACAAAGGTGGAGAGTTTAGAGTTTTCAAATGCTTAAGAGGTTCTCTGTTGAAGTGGTTTTGTAGGCTATCAAGTGTGAAAGAACGATTCAGCCAGAAGGTGACAAACAAGAGTATCCATGTTCCATACCTCCTCCCTGAAATCTAAGGAGGTTTGTCTAAAAGAACTTAGTTTAGTTTCCTAAATCTAATGTCTAGCCCCAATAATTAATTTATCCGAAAAATTCTGCACTAATCTAGAGGCAATATCCCTAATCCTCCGAGTTAATGTGATTAACCTAATTTTCCACTATGATCTCTTCCAAAATTCATAATTTACGACAAATATTAACAATTCACTTGCCTAGAATAAAAGTAAATGAAGCTCCGAAGGTTAAGCATTGCCATTTAAGATTAAGCACAAAATTATATAAGAAATTTCACACATAACAACCTTATATCCCTAATTCAAGAGAGAATAAGAGAATTATTTTCTACTCGTGCTTTTACAAATCAACATAAAAATTTTATTTGGAAGAAGAAATCAAACACATGAGTCTTTAACAGTTGAAATGAAATCAAACTACATGAAGAGCTCCAAAGTATTTTTCTCCCTTCTCACTTGGAATGATGATGATACAATCACAAAGTCTCACAAACACTAATGAAACTCACTTCTCTACACTTAATTGCTAGTTGAAGATCTTATTTGGTCTTCTCCATAGATGCTCCATGCTTAAAAAAAGCAGAAAAGACCTATCTTTAGTCAAATTCATGGCTTTTACATTTCTCTCAGCAAAGAGACGCGTCTGAACTACTAAAAACCCCATAAATGTATAACTAGTGTCTAGGCGCCGTCTTATTATCTGATTTAAAATATTGGGCGCCTAGGCACCAGTAGGGCAGCGCCTAATCGCAGTTGTAGCGTCACCTACTTGATGTAGTCGCGGTGCTTACTTACTGAGTCATGGTGCCTACTTTCTGTGCTCTCTGTATTATGAGTAAAAATTCACTTAAAACTGCTTGGCAACTGAGGCCTAGGCACCCAAGGGTAGTGCCTTGGCTCCCAGTCTCTAGTGCCTAGGTTCTAGCGTCACAACACCCACTTTCTAATCGCTCTATATTGTGCATGCATGATCCTGCTTTCAACGCCTTGGCGCCCAGTCCTAGCACTCAAGCGTTGGTAGCATGGTGCCTTATTTCTAGCCTCCTGGCACCAACTTTCCAGTTGCTCTGTCTTTTGACGAAATCTACTGGAGGAAGTCCTCGTTTGGCGCATACATCAACACTTAACTCCATTTTTAGATAATTTAAACTCCATTAGACCTCCTTTCTTGAGTCATGCAACACAACACCAAAAGCTTTCAAAAAGCGTAACATAAATATATAACCAAGTAAAAATAAAGTGGCAAATAAGTACTTTTCATAAGCATGTCAGTGACCTTGCGGCTTAGACCACATGCATGACCCTTTTTGCTCAAACCGGCTAGAGCCTACAGACTCGATCGCCGCCTTTGCCCATAGTGGCCCTTATCCCTCTCTTGCCAACCAAGTCAGCACGCGCGCACACACACACACTCACACACACTCCCACATGCGCACACGCGCGCGCACACACACACACACATACACACACATATAAAAGCATAAAGCCATGTTATAAAAAGGGGGAAAATCAAAATCTCGGATTATGCTATTAAAGTACTTTTGAAAGCTTTCAGTGTATAATTGGAAAATCAAACATATTCTAAGTATGACAAGCTTATATTTGTTGAGTGTCTTGGCGGGACAAATCTGACGAGCCTAAGATCTCTTAATTCAGACATCATTAAAGTACTCTAATGTTCATCGAACATCGTCTGATTAAGGAAAGTCATTTGGGCTGTCTGACAGAGTGGTTCAAATTTCTTTTTCATTTACAGAGAAGTCTCTCTCAGACTCGATATGTAGAGTCTTATCCCCCACTTGAGAAGGGGACTTATGCGGGAGCTTCCCCAGATTGCGGCACTATAGCTGCTATAGTGTCGTGGATGTGTTACTGTAATAGCTAAAGTAGTCGCAGTTCAACCCTTCTCCCTTCTCTTTGCTTTTCAATCCTAACATCTCTTTTTCTTTTCCATGATCCTTGCCTATTTTACTTCCTTTTTATTTAATTTCTTAATTGAAAGCATTTTCTAATATAAATCCTAATCACTCTCATATATAGGGGCATTTTTTGCTTAGAAAATGAGATTTTTCTTATGATTGTTGATTTCAGTTACTGTCATTGAGGCGCTCTTCCCCTTCGTGGGTTGTACCTGATGACGAGAATGTGCTCCGACTATAACTCATCCAAGGTGGTGACCATCTTGGTGGTGCTCTAGCTATAGCTTGACCCTGACGAGACATTTTTTTCTTTTTGCAATCCTTTGACCTTTTTCCTGCTGTTGTATGTCCCTTCCTACCACCAGTCAGCTTGCTGTCCTCACTATCAAACTCCTTCTTGTCCTTCCAAAAGCTATCATAAGCCTCCCAACCCATCAAGACCAAACTCAACCCTCTCACGCCTTCCCTCATCCTGTTGTAGCTGTTCCCAAAGCTGCAGCTGCCCATTTTGAGCAGCCTAATAGGTGTCACAACTCTTCCATCAGATCTATTTGCTACTGTAACCCTTATTGGAGTATCTTCTGTATCTTTCTGTTTGTGTTTTCAAGCGTCGTACAATAATATTTATTTTTTTTTGTTTTGGTTTATGTTTCCTCTGGTTTCATTTGCTATTAGAGCTAGCGCAATCACAGTCCTATCCTAGGGTCCTTAGTATCTGCCCTTACCCAAGCCACCCTCACTAAAATTTTCCTTCCATAAAAGCTTCGACAGATAAATTCAAAGCTCCCTAACCCCGAAAGATCGACGCAAGAGCTTCCCTAGATCACTGCATTATAGCTGCTACTGTGTCGCGAATGAGTTACTGTAGCATATATTGTTATCAACATCTACCCTTCTCCCCCCTTTTCTTTCCTTTTCTCTCCTAATATTGCTTTCCTTTTACATTAAATCACCTATTATAAAACCTTGCCTATTATATTACTTCATTTTTATTATATTTCTTAATTGAAAGTATTGCTTAAGATAAGTCTTAATCCCTCTTATATATAGAAGCTATTTTTGCTGAAAAAAAAGAGGTTTGTTTTATGATTGTCGATTTTAGTTACTGTCTTTGAGGCACTCTTCCACTTCAGGGGCTATACCCGATCACGAGAAGGTACTCCGGCTGTAGCTCCCTCCACTTCGAGAACCTGCCATAAAGCCCTTCCAACCCTTCTAGACCTAACCGCAATCCTTGCGGGCCTTCCCCCATCCTACCTTAGTTGTTTCCAGCTCTTCCCAATGTTTTAGTAACCCCTCCATTAGATGTACCTGCTATTGTAACCTTTATTGGAGTCTATGTTGTGTCTTTATGTTTGTGTTTTCAAGAGCGGTGTCTGTAATCCTTTTAATTTTGGCAATAATATTTGTTTTTTTTTGTGATTTCGGTTTTCTCCGGTATCAGGGAGAGAGACGTTGAGCTAGTTGAAAACTGAAGCTTGGAGGAGCTGAAATCCAACATCAATTTTGCACCACAGTTCTAATAAATACCTCCTACTTCTGCAAACGTCGACCGCTGTCCATCACCGTCCACCGACCACCATCGATCACTACTTGCAGGCCATCATCGGTGACTGTCAGTTGTCCCTGACTCATCACAGTGAAACCCTTTATAGAATCATGACATGCGCTGTAAAATTCAGGTGTCTATTGTAGAGTAATGTGACATCATGCAGAGTAATGCACCCAATTTACGGTGCAATAACACTTCTTGAAAATGGTGTATCAATGCACCCTGAAGACGAAGACTTTTTTAGGACTTCTAAAGCTCTCTCCTAGCAGCTCACCATTACGACCTATCTAACCAATTATGATATATATGGTCCATAGCTCGTGGAGCTCCTAACATCGACCTTCGTGGCTTATGTACGTCATAACAGCTCACATTTACAACTTACGTGACCGACCATGACGTACGTGGTCCACAACTTGTGCAGCTTCCAACTTCGGCCTCTATGGCCTTCAAACCTCATCACAACGCACCACTACTACCTACATGGTCCATATTTATTGCAACTCTCATCTTCGGTGCCTACGATCTACTGATGTCGTCTCAGCTTAATACTATGACCTACATGACCAACTACGACCTACACGGTCAACCGTGCATGCAACTCTAGACTCCAGCCTTTGCTGCCTGCATACATAATCACAACTCACCACTGCAGCCTATGAGACTAACTACTTTCTACATAATCCACAACTCATGCAGCTCCCAACTTGCCCATGAGGCATTCAGATATTGTCACAACTCATCCCTATGACCCACATGATCAACTACGATCTATGTGATTCACAACTAGTGTAGCTTTCGACTCTGACCTCTATGGCCTATGGATGTCATCACATCTCAACACTATGACTTATGTGATTAACTACGACCTATGTGACGTACAAAACCTACAGATTTCTACTACTGTCTCTATAGTCAATTGACAGTTCCAAAGCAACCGTCCGTGATCCACATGACCAATCACTATCATGACTTTCAACTACAACCTATACGATAAAATAACACTATAATCACAATCGACAACATTTACAGTAGAATACTGCTTCCATAACAATCAATTATAACTCTTGCATTTCATTTTCACTAAGAACCACATTCATTACAATCAGACTACGACTATTATCTATAAATTATTGTTTTACATTTACATTGATCAACTTTATAGCTACATATTTCCTAATTCAGGAGAAAATTAGACTTATGTGCTCATTATTTATAATAGATTGTTTTAACTAAGCTAGACCCTATGATTTTTCCCCTTTTCATGATTTTCACATAAAAAGTCGAGTAGGTTCCGTGTATTTATTTATTTTTAAGTGAGCGTCGTGTTAAATTTTCGTATAACACTGAGATAATAATTCATTAATATGTAATAGTTATAAGTGTGATGTATATCTCCCGGATTGTTTTTTATTCCACAAGTTTTTTCACATTAGATTAGGTGCTTTTCACTTTTCATGAGAATAATGCGGAAACACGTTATGAATTACATACAAGCCCGCCCTATTTCTTTCAAAACGGCATAATGTGTATGGTCTCGGAATCGTATCCCACGCCTCCCATCGAGCACTTAGCATTTCCCCGGAAAACCCTAAGCAAATCTCCGGCCATCTTTCTCACCGACGGCGAACACGCTCCCTGCATCACCAATAGTATCTTTGCTAATCCCCCCTTCGCTGCTGCAGCCGCCTCTCTAGCCCGCCGATCTCCGCCGCCGGCGCAGCACACACTCCATAACACTGCAACAGCCGCCTCCTTCCCCTCATTCCCAACTTTCATCAGCACCCCCAGCACCACCACGACGCACCTCTCCGCCTCTATGCAGATCGCGGCCTTGCCCTCGCCGCACCATGTCACCGATTCCATAACCCGCATCGCCCTTGCGACAGCCGACGTCGGGATCCCATCTCCTTGTCTCTCCATCACCTTAATAAGCGCAGGTACTGCCCCCATTCTCACAATCGCCACCCTCACCCTCCTCCCCTCCCCAATAAGTCCCATTAAGCATCGCAATCCAGCATCCACCAACTCCGCATCATTTTCTCCAAGTAATCTTAATAGCTCTGTCATCACTTCTGTTTTCTCTGCAATCACCGTCCTCTCCTCCGCGATCAACATTTCCAGAACCTTAGCGGCCGCTACTCGAGGAGGTGAATCATCCGCACCCTTGAAAATGGTGACAATGCCAGAGGTGGCGGCATCGAGAACTGACAGAATATCTTTGATCAATGCTCGTTTGCTCTCCGCTTTGACGAGATCGAGAGATAGAAAGCGGGAGGTAAGGGTGACGGCAAGTTCGACGGTTTGAGGGGCGAGGAAAAGGGAGACGAGAGCAGAGGAGCGGAGGGCCCCGGATGAAATTAGGCTGAGCTTGTAGGCTTCGTCGGCGGTGGGATCGGAGAGGGTGTTAACTAGGTTGGAGAGAGAGGTGAGGTTTTGGTCGGAGGAGTTGGAGGAATACCAGAGGTTGATGAGGCGGTGGAGGTTGAGGTTGGGGATTAGGTCGGTGGAGGAAAGGGGCTGCATGGTGGCGGGGCAAGTGGTGTTTCCGGAGTCTAGCCAGCGCTGGATGGAGGAGCGGTCATAGGTAACGCCGGTGCAGAGGCTCACCGGCGATCGCATGACCTCTAGGGAAATGGGGCATCGGAAGAAGCTAGGCAGGGGCTCCGTTCTGCTGACGTCCAAGTGGAGAAGAGGTGTGCTTTCTATCTCTTGCTTGTTTCTGTTATCTGGTTGATTTCGATTCTTCATTGTAGATGAGTAGAGACCTGAAGCTTATGTCTCCTCCTTCCTCTTTCGCATTATTTTTCGGCGTTGTTCGCTTGTATTAACTGCGCTGCGCGCACTGCCTTGTTGCGGTGGGGGAAAACTTTTGAACTGGTGGCGTGGTGGGGTGGGGATGGTCAAGAATGAACGGTCAAAAGTGCGGGAGGCGTGCTTTCGGGTCATGGCCTGTGAACTTTATAAAGACCAGCACTCGCTATTCTATTTTGGGGAAGTGTCTTGATAAAGTTGCTTATTTTATTTATGTTATTAATGCCCTTTATTTTAATAAATGAAGACATTAAAATCATGAAAGAGATGGGTTGATGATGAGTAGCTTGAGTGGACCGGAGAAGGAAGCCAGTCTGGGCGCAGCCTTTGATAGTCTTCGAGGTGTCAAGACTGTGCTAGATTGCGGTTGTCGGTCAGCTTGTAATGTTCTTTGGGTTAGCTAGAATAGCTCAATCGACTTGGTTTTGTCGATTGGTTGTTCAAGTTTGACTGTCGATCGTTGATCTCTGGATATGGAGCTCCTGTCGGCAGAATGAGGCTAGACTATTGGGTCATCATAATCCGGTAATAGCTCATTCCTTGACGAGGGGATTATTCGGGAATGCTTGTGGGCTATTTGGTTGCCAATTCATGGTCCATGATGAGATAACTCAGTGACATCCATGAGATTATAGGTGATTTTGAACCCTTTCCTAGGAGCGTGTTGCGACAATAGGTAGATCGATGCCTTTACTTGGCTTGATTAGCCTTTGTTTTTTGTTCGGGTGGTCTGCACTAGGTGGCCAACAACTATAGTCCAGGGGTTGCATCTGGTCAGGTAAGTAAGTCCTCTGGTCTTCCTCTAGTGGGCCCTCCTTAATTGTACCTTTTTGTCTCCCGAATCTTTGGATCTCCTTGAGATTTGTACTGACGCATTCCTATTGTACATTTTTTATTTTCCAAATTCTCGTACTTCTTAAAATTATTTCTTAAAAGCAACAACTGTGATAACAATAAGTGAATTAAATACAAAAATAGATATCATTTGTGTCATAATCAAAATTTTAATAATTAAACTTCTTGGATTTTTATGCACATGATTCTTATAAATAGTGTGTGACGGGACTCCTTTGTTATTCTACATTTGCTCTGCATCTCTACGTTGAAGCCAACCAGCTTTCAAACATCTCCATGGTGAACGTTCTGAAGCCTTTGTGTGAGATCATCGGTAAGGAAATGATGATGGCTGCCTTCAACTATCTACAAAATGGTCCCACCCTGCGGCCAAGAAGAAACTGGAGGGAGAGAAGAGCCTCGATGGAGAAAAGATGTCAGAGGGAGAAAACAAGCCAGAGAGAGAAAAGTGGAAGAAACTTCATTCGAAGAAATGAAAGGCAGGTGAGATGACGGGTGGAGTTGGGTTAGTTGACTCGTTTTATGGTCCTCGAGGGGTAAATGATCAGGTGAAGATGGAAGTAGGTTGGATGGTCTGAGCGTCGACCCATCCTCTTGCTGCAGCATGTGACCATTTGGTTGAACAACCTACGCTGGGAGTCGCTAGCCAAAATCAATTACACAATTAAATTTCTTTTATTTATCTCCACCAATTGAGCAAAAGTCAAAATTTTAGTCATAACCCCATAACCACATAAACACCTAAATTTTAATCATAAACACCTAAACACTTCAAATTGAGATTGAGTTGGATGCTACTTTTTTCAAAACTGATTGCAACACTGGACTTCTTGCATTCTCTTATTTCGAATAAGGTATACTTGCCATTCTGGGCCATAACTATCCTAATTTTCTTTTTGAATTTGAATTTCCCTCCCTCATTTCAAATTTTCCTCTTATTTTTCCCCTTAACCATTCCCTAAAAAACTCCCCACTTAACTCCCTCATCCCAACTGAACCTCCACTATCTCACCCTCATTCCATCACATCGAAAGCTCACCATGCCCCTTCTCATTCTCTCCTCTCCTCGTCCAACGAAGCCTCTCCCCTCCTCTCCACTTCTCCCTTCCCCTCTCCTCTCTACAAATTGAGAATCAATCCTCCCCTCCTTTTCTCTTCCAAACGAGAGCCTATTCTTTTCACCAAGGAGAAGGCACTTCATCCAAGGACAAGAACTCCTTGTCCAAGAAAGATTCAGGAAGGAAATCCAAGTAAAGGTATAACACACCATCCCTTTTCATTTCAATTGAATTTTGCATGATGTAGACTAGAAAATTTTGATAGATCTTCTATTTTATTCCTACTTCTCACCATACCTACTCTATCTCACTATACCTTTTCATTTCTCACCAAAACCAAGCCCTTCATTAACTCTCCTTCCCATTTCTCACCCAAACTGAGCCCTACATTAATTCTCCTAATAAGCTCTCAGCAAAATCAAGATCTACACCCCTTCTCTTCCTCATTTCTCTCCCTAGTCGAACCCAAACTGAGCCCCACACTCATCTCCTCCCTATTTCTCACCAAAATCGAGACCTACCCTATTCTTTTCCCCATTTCTCCCTATTGTTGAGCCCTTCATTAATTCTCCTCCCCATTTATCACTAAAATTGAGACATACACCCATTTTTCTCCTCATTTCTCCCCATGGCCGAACCCTTCATTAACTCTCCTCATTTCTTGCTCAAGCCGAGGCCTACATTACTCTCACCCCCATCCTAACCCCATGGCCAAGCCCTACACCCATTCTCCTCCATTTCTCCCCATGGTCAAGCCCTAGATCCAGTCTCCTCTCCTCCCTAACCCTAACTTGAACCCCCTTTTCATTTTTTCCCCTTTTTCTTAGCCCTAACTGTGCCCAACCACTCACGATAGCCCTCTCATTCCTAACCCTAACTCCCAAAAATAAGGGAAAATAGAAAAGAGAAAAGAAGGGAAAATTTCATTTGATGTTTTAGGTCTCGTGTTGGGAAAATTCACTTGCTTAAGTTTACCTTATGTCGAAACCAAACTCATGTTAAAGTTCCTTGAAAAATTGAAGAGTTTGTCTGTTTTTTGTGATTAGGACCAATGAGCTTTCATGCTTTGTTTTAAATTTCATGGTGAAGGAAATCCATGTGCTAGCTTATGTCCATGCTAAGTCTCCATATGCTAGGTTATGTGTATGTAAAATTTTCATTTGCCTTTGTTTTTTTTCTTTTTAAAAACTCGAAGTCACCAGCTTTTCTATTTATATGTCATCGTATTATTCCATTTTTCAAACAAACCTCCCCTCGGATGTCTAGGAATTGCTCTTAGGCGTCGAACTCCACCTAGAGATTGTCCAGAATACAGAGCGATTGAAAACTAGGTGTCGTGTTGTAGAGTGCCTAGGTGCCATACTTGGGCGCCCAAAGCCTTAAGTCCAGATTTTGAGACTGGCGCTTAGGCGTCGCAGACTAGCGTCTAACTATAGTTTTCAGCGGTTGGAATGCGTTTCTCTTCTGGAAGAAATATAAAAGTTATGAATTCGGCTGAAGGGGGGGGTCTTTTCTGTATTTGGTGTGTGGAGGATTGAAGAGGAATACCAAAGAAGCTTTGCAAGGAGTTCTTAAGTGAAGAAATGAGAAATTTGAGAAGATAAAAAAGTATATTCACTGCTTGTTTCTATTTCTCCCATCTTGCTTTGCAAAAGGAGATAAGTACACTTTTAGTTTATGTTTTCATTTGAATTTCTGTGTAAAACTTAGTGTATGATTTCTATGTTTAATTCAAAAATTGAGTTGATGGTTTTTATAAGAAACAGTGAGTATATCCTTTATTTCTTCCTCGAATTGAATAGTGATAGGATAGAATTGAAATTATCCATGCGATTCACATGTGAATTATTTTAATGGTGTTGAGTTAACCCATTGACTTTATTTTTTTTGTTGCCCGGCCAGTAGGAAGATTAACATCCTTCGTGAATTTTGAGATATAGAAGGATACTTAGTGGAACGAAAGATGTTAACCATATAAAACCATTAGAATAGGAATATTGCCTTTGAGTTTATATTAACATTTAGGGAGATGATATTTAATTGGGCTGATCAAAGGATTTATGGAACTAAACTCCTGAAAGTCAAATTTTGTTAGAATTTCGGAAGTGGATAAGACAAATAATAGTATCTGTTTGACACTAAATTATAATCACTGTTTCAATTCCATTCTCCACAAAATCCATTCAAAGGGGAATTTTTCAAAACTTGAATTTCTTAAAAACTTATTTTAGTTTGTTAGGGCATACTTGTTTTTAAATTGAAATAGGATAGAAACTTTTTCTTAGCTTCAAAAAATTGAACAGTTCGGGCTAGGACCGACAAAAGTAAACTACATCTTTTTTGTATTGGGATTTGGCTTGTTCTCTGTGGGATTGATACATGGAACTCAAATCCGTATACTATTTATACGGCATATATATTTGTGTGAGTTGTAAGTATTTTGCCGCACTTGGATCGTATCACTCGTTCATGCTACTCCTGCATCCATCTTAGCTTCTCTATGGAATAAATAGTGATCAAGTCTTATCCACTCTCAAACTTACCCCCATATAAATACATTACTTTCTCTTCTCGCTTCCCCATTAAAAAAGTCATGCCTGAGAAAAATGATTTAATGTGGAAATGCAATCTTCATAAACCTCCACCTTTTTGGCTTGATCGCATTATCCAACTAAAAAACTTATCTCGAGAGTCATGTTAGCTCCTACAATTGTTTCATGGATTATGAGGAGTCTAGGAGGAAAGGATGCTTATTTGCCAGAAGTATACTTGGGACAATCATGTTGATTTGCAATGTTCACTGGAGAAAAACATTGAGTTCATAAAGTCAAGTATGATTTTTATAGTTCTATACCAAGAGCAACGGATAACATGAATTAAATAAGAGTCGTCTCGGATTAATAATCCTTCTCTCTACTTAACATAAGTTTACTCGTTGACTTTTTAGTTTGTCCACTCAACTAGGTTTCTCTTTTCTTTTGCATATATATCCATTATTACTTTTGTAAGAAAAATCCTAAAGAGTCTTATAAATTTTTTTAGAATTATTAATTTACATTTCATTATTACT